TTTAAGGCTCTATTAAATAAACCCTAATAATTTTAAGGTCGTGTTAAATGAATCCCTTTAAAGTTTATATTAAGATTGTATTGAATAAACCTTGATAGCTTTAAGGTCCTGTTAAATAAATACCTTTAAATTTTATTTAATTTTGAAAATGTAAAAATCATGGTTTAAATATTCAAACATGTAGGGGTTTATTTATTATTATTTTTTAGTAAAAAAAATATATAATTGGGGATACAAGTAGACAATGGAAATAAGAAATTGGTGGGTTGTTGAAGTGAACTTGTGTGTGCAAAAGAAGTGGGATAATATGGGTCCATTAATTCTTTTTTTGAAAATGTCATTTACCTAAACTCTTGATGTGAATGTGACATGTTCAATCAAATGAAGTGGAACAAGATATACTAAATATATCAAAGGGTATTTGGCGTAGCGGTATTTGAGTCTCTTGCCTCTTAGGAGGTCAATGATTCAAACCTCACCAATGGTGTGGAGGATGTGTGAGTTTATTTGTTGCATTTTCCGTATGTAAAATATATCATATACTTAAAAAAAAGATATAGTCAAGATTCAGTGAAAGTTTTGTAAGATTAAGAAATTATAGTTTATGTTAATTCAGTATATTAAAAAAACTATAAAGAATTGAAGTTTCATCTGACATGTATAATAAGAAAGTTGTTAAAAGGGACTTTATTTAGCATAGGGGGGGGGGTCTATTTAGATTTATCGGTTATATGTTTTTGGGGTTGCTATTCAAGGCTAATTAAAAAAATGAGACTTAACCACAACGGTGGTATCTGATTGGTTTGAGCTTGGCTACCAGGAGGTCTCAGATTCAAATCCAAGGAGGAATAAAAATCCCCTTGTGGCCACGGAGGTTCAAATGCGGTGACTCCGGGCTATCTGCAAAGCAGGTGGTCGTTCTGAGATTAGTCGGCTCGCATAGCGGGTTGGATATCCAGGTTAATAAAAAAAAATTAGACTTAATGTTGATGTATGTGTGAGGAAAGTAGTAGGAATAAGGTTCAAATAGAACATAAGAGGTCTGTTTAGGATCACCAAATATTGCAACCTCATAAACTGTTGTAACAAAACTATGTAACATGTATCACTTGCATCGAATATGGCCAAAAAAACTGAAATGATAAAAATACCCTTGATGTCATATTTATTTGATTGTTAAAACATGAGAATATGTGAACTCGACTTAATTATTTTGTGGTCAAAAAATAAAAAGGGAATATCTGAATAAAACGGGAACAGGAGGATCAACGACGTGGGACGGATGGCTGAAATAATGCTTGGATGGCAACGATGCAAACGGGTGCAATTGGGAAGGGTGCATTAGGGCCAAAGGCGGTTGTTGACACAATTAGACTAGGGTAGGGGACTTAGTATGGTGGTTGAGTTAGGAAGTTATACGGTATAAGTCGTCACTACATGAATTTGTATCGCACAAATAATAAATGCATATATTCAAAACAATAACTTGAACTTTACATTAGTTTATGTCTAATGATTTTTAAGTTCAAAATTAAATTGAAAGACATGATAACGCTTGAAAAACAGTAAAAGTGAAAAAGATCAGTTTTATCAAAATCAGATAATCATCAATGTGGTTTTATTTTTTAAATCGATATTGCAATCGAAAAATCATCAAAATACAGTTTCTGATAAAGATCCAAAACTGAAATAAAAGGGTCGGTTCAAATAAATATAAAATTGTAAAATATTTTTTTGGATTTTTGTTTGAATTACCTAGTATTGATCTCTGAACATTATTAAATTTAATATATAATTTAAAATAATATCTGAATTTCTTGGGTTCTACAACTTTTGGAATTTTCACATGTGTGCTTTCAATTCCATTGCTTCAGTCCTCACATGTCAACAAAAAAATTACTGCTGTATAGAATTAAATAATATGAATTTTCATCTGGTTAAGTTTAATTGGAATGAAATTTTAGATTTATAAAAAACAGGTTTATTATATTATATAAAATTAAAATTATTTGATGTAGGTTTTTGAATGGTTGTTATATATTTAGGGGGTGTTTAAGATTTGCTTATTTAAACTGTTTATTGATTTATTCCGTTGTAGTATCGATAATAAATAGTTTTTAATGTTTGGATGAGAAGAAAACAAGGCTTATACCGGTGTTAAACCGGTAATAAGGAGTTTTTGATAAGTTACTCATTTCTGACTTATCATCCTTAAAAATCAAATTACTTTTTTAACCCTAAACCTAATACTTCTCATCATTTGCATCATCAGAAACTTTTGGTGGCTGTGGTGGTGGTGATTCAACGAACAGGTATGGAGAAGAACTCTGGTGATTTGAACAGAAAGGGAAATTGACGGTTGAAAAGATTGAATTGAAATGTAGGGGTCAATTTGGACTGAGCCCTTGAGGATGTGAAACCCATGGCTGACGTCACCGTCGTGAACATGGTGGTGTTGAGACGAATCAAGGGTTTATTGATCGTTCGTGAAGGCGTTAGTTTCGATGTGAGAATGAGTTGGGGTTGGTAGGCGTAGGTTGCTTTAAGGGGGTGTACTTGCTTGTTTCACCATCTGCGTCATGTCCATGCATCATCTACATCATCTCGATAGATGGGAAAATCTCTCTCTCTCTCTCACACACACACACCCCAAGAACGCACACAATAGAGAATGTTTTTTTTTGTCATTTTGCATGTATAAGCAAAATTTGTCAAACACTGAAAAACAACATATCATCTTATTGCGTTTTGATACTGCTACTAATCCAAACAATTTTTATGAAACTTCGATTTAACATCACGTAAGTTAATAAACATTTTTACAGAAAAACATAAGTTGTTTTAAATAAATAATTCCAAACACCTCTTAATATATTTTATCAACAAAAAATTAAATTAATAATCGATAATTTTAATTACTTCCATCAAATACGTCAATAGCATATATATAAGTATGAGCTTTTGTTGTAATTCACATGTTACTCCACTTAACTATTTTTATTTATTTTTAATTTACTTAATTCTTTATTTTATTTTAATTTTTTTATTAACCTAGTTAATTATTTATTGAATATTTAGAATACATTTTAATATAAAAAATTAACTAAATACATTTTAATATAAAAAATTAACTAAATAAGTATTTTATTTGAATCCAGTATAATGCCATCACGATAAAAGTGGTTTTTAATCTGAAGTCTTATTTCATCCTCGATTTATAAGAGGTATATTGAAGTCTGAGATCTGAATTAATGAAACTGTTTGTTTTTATAAATTCCCACACATTTGAATTTTTTTAAATTGTCTATTTTACCCATTAAAAAATTATATTGTTGAATTTATAAATAAAATTAATACAATTTCATATATTTATTCATTATCATTACGAAATTTACATCTAAATTATATAATTAACATTCATTTAAACAAAAATATGTCATTAACGTATTTAAAATACATCAATTGAAAGACATAAGGATTGATTTGGTAAGGATTGATTGAGAGAAATCATATATTAAGGTTAATCAATATAGAAATATCGTTGTTGAAAGTTTGAAAAATAATAAGAGATTGGTTGACCTCTTACCGAATAAGAGAATAATAAGACATAAGTGCTTATGAAAAATTGAAAAAAACAAATAGTCTGAAAGACCTTAGCTCTTAATAAATCAGACATAAGACACTAATAAAAGAAGACTTAAACACTTAACTGATATGAGCCTTGACCTAAATGTATTATTGTTATTATGTGCATTTAATCCAAAAATAAATATGACAATTTTTCAAACTATAATTAATAATACCTTTACTTTTTCAATGCTAATCTATTTTATTTTATTATAAGATGCTAGAAGTGTATTAATGTAATAAATTATAATTTTTATTGATTATCTGTTTTATACAGTATTTTTGTTATATTCAGTTAATTAGATGTTAGTTTTGTAAAGTTCATAGTTCAAACATATCAAATTACAGAGATGAAAAATGCCTGTTTCTTTTTAAACAGTTTATAGCAAAGCAAATATTTCAAGCTTTAATTATCATTGTTTACAAAATAGGTAGAATACGAATATTATAAAAATTGAAACATTTTGTATGCATTATTGATTTGTATATAATATTTTTAACATTTTTATTTTTTGAAATTTTTTAAGAGTTTTTAAAGTGTGTTTCAAGAAACAATACGTATGTATAGATTATTAAAAAATAACAGTTATTAATTTGTATTTCAAGAAGCATAATATTTCGTGAGCAGTATTAATTTCATTAGTGACCCTTCCGTAGGCATGGCAATGGGATGTGAATGCAATTCCCGGCCTCGGTCCCCAGTGGATACAGGGAATCTAATTTCCTCCCGGGTTTTGTTAAACCTATCCTCGGTCCACCCTCGGTTTATCCCCCGGTCAATCCCTTGTTCAATAATAAATGGTTAAGTTTGGTTGGAAAATATGATATATTATGTAAGATACGGGGACGGGGCGGGTTTTCAACATGTCGAGGATCTCCAGATCCGGTGTCCATTTTTACGGGGAATCTCTAGCCCTAAACGACAAGGGTGAACCGGGTTCCTCAATGGAGCAGAGCCATCACCATGCTTATTATTTTGAGACTTTGGTTACTCTGAATTTAATATTTACGTATGTAAAAAAGAAGTATAAATATCTTCGTTTCACTGGTCGATCTCGATATTTCATCAAAAATATATAATCATCGGTTTTCATGCTTAAAAAGCATGTCTTAAAACACAATTTTAACGGTTCTCCGTCAAGTTAATACAATTTAATAACAAAAAGATGAGATCAAGGGGGGATATTGAACTATGTCAAAACATGAAGGGTCTTAATGACGTAATTGAATAATATAGGGGACTAGTTGTCATTATCCGAAAATTTTGTTTCCCCCTTCGTCTTTCTCTATCATGTTATTACAGAGTCCCAGTAAGCAGAAGACATTCACGAGTTCTTTCTCCCGTGATTGGATCCACTCGCATGCTCAAATTTGACCCCCTTTTTGGTCCTCTTGAATCAATCCAAAAATCCCCATTAACGACGTTGCCCCACCTTCTCTACATCAGCAAAAGGTGTGTGTTCTTGTGAGATAAAAACGAAGAAGTGGGGAAGCTAAGAGAGTTCAAAGTTAATGAATTCGTGCCGTATGAAATGATGGGATATTGCAGAATTGTTGGTTAAATTCGGGATTTCTGTTTCATCTCCTGCATTGAATTTAAGGTAGTTCTATCTATTTTCAAAATTGGTTCCGGAGTTCGATTAATTTTGCTGTTGTTTTCCGTCTGGTTTTAATGGATTTGTTAAATTTTAGTCCGTGAGTTTGCTGTAATTTATATAGTTAATATTGAATCTTACACATTTTCCAAAATGGTTTGTCTGATGATGCAATTTAAAATTGATCTGGTTGAGTAATTTGTACGATTAGATCTTGTCCCAAATAGATTTAACTCATATTTTCGTATTGAAAACTACTCCATCCTTCCATTCAAATTGCAACAATTTCATTCTTAGATTTGCAACATCAACTTGTTTTTGGGATCATTCTTAGATTTGCAACATCAACTTGTTTTTGGGTAGTTTAATGTATTTCTGGTGTTTATGTGATTTGAATGTAGAAAAATGTCGAAGCCACTTCATCGAGGTTTTATCGGAGGAGGCAGATTTTCAGGAAACATTCAAGATTTGCAGGAAGATACCCAAATGAAAGATAGAACAGATAAACAAGATTTCGATAAGAATCGGTTATCTTCTGATCATGTATCTTTATCTCTACGAAATCCAGTTGGGTTTCTATTTTCTAGTGATTTATCATCCAAACAAAATGTTAATGAGAATAGATTTCTATTCTCTGATCTATCTTTTCATGGAAATGGTCATAAGCTAGCTTTAGTTTTTCTTAAGTTCACTTTAGTTGTTATAGTATTCTTGGCTCTTACGGTGTCATTTTGGTGGACGATTTCCCTCACGAATACGTCTAGAGGTCATGTGTTACGTGGGTATAGACGTCTTCAGGAACAACTTGTGTCGGATTTATGGGACATTGGAGAGCTTTCACATGGTGGTTCTAGTTTGAAAGAATTGGAGTTCTGTTCTTTAGAGTTTGAAAATTATGTCCCTTGTTTCAATATTAGCGAAAATCTTGAATTGGGAAAAGGGTATGATCGTCATTGTGGGGTTACGTCAAAACAGAAATGTTTGGTTCTTGCTCCTGTTAAATACAAGATTCCTCATAGATGGCCTACGGGAAGAGACGTAATCTGGATTGATAATGTTAAAATCAAGGCACAAGAGGTGCTTTCTTCGGGAAGTTTTACAAAGAGGTTGGTAAAACTTCTATGTGAATTTGAATCAAAGAGTTGTACGAGCTAGTTATTTGTTCAAACAAGTTTGAATTTATGTGATTCCAGGATGATGATGTTAGATGAAGACCAAATTTCGTTCAGTTTTGCCTCTTCGATGGTTGATGACAATATTGAAGACTATTCGCATCAGATTGCAGAAATGATTGGTCTAAGAAATGAATCTTACCTTGTACAAGCCGGAGTAAGTAAATCTAGTTTCTGAAACTGGCATATGTTAATATGATTTGTGCCTTTATTCATGTTATTTTTGGGTAACCGCGGGTATTTGGGTCAGCTTACGTGCACCGATTAATACCCCGGGTGACCACGAATGGAGTCACCGTAGGTGAACCTCCATGGTCACAAGGACTTTGGTAGCGCCTGGATTCATGTTAGACTTTTTGCCCCTTGTATTATACACAAAAGACCAAAATCCATGTCCGTTTAGGTAATTTCTACATTGTTGACTAGCTCATCAGCTAGTTTTGACCAAGTGTGACTTGTTTATCAACTAATTCATTAGCCAACAACTAGATTTTTAGCTAACAACTAGCTTTTCAGCTAGTTTGCCAAACATAGCCATAGTCTAACAGATACTTTAGGGAAGTAGTTTGACTATTTGTTGAATTTCTAAAAATACCCATCACTAAAAGATGAAATAATAGAAGCTTATGAACTCTATCAATATCATCAATCCAGTCCTTGGGCGTGTAGCTCAGTTGGCAAGGGGATGGAACGACTTTGCTCAAATACACAACATGTTCAAGTTCAAATCTTGTGGGAGAAGGGCTTGAACAGCTCCGCTAGCCTCAGCCGCTGAGTCAGCCTTGAAATGCCTCCTCATGTGGTCCCTAGGGGGCAGGTTCCATGTGGGGCGGGGCGGGTTCCATGTGGGGCCAGTCGGGGTTGCCGGTAATCAACCTTTTGCCCAAATATCATCAATCCATTAGTGATAATGTTATGGGTAAATATGTAATCCTGAGTTGGCAACTAAGAAAAAAAGGAAATGCTGCAATTATAATTAGACAGAGTTGGTACTGATTTCCTACACAATGAAGCATTTTTGGCTTTTGCTTTTGGTTATGCATTTCATTTGGGTGAAGTGGCATAGTTTGATATAGTTCCTTTTATTTCAGGTCAGAACTATATTGGATATCGGTTGTGGTTATGGTAGCTTAGGAGCCCATCTCTTTCAGAAACAGCTTCTAACGATGTGTGTTGCGAATTATGAGGCTTCAGGAAGCCAAGTTGAGATAACTCTTGAACGAGGCCTTCCTGCAATCGTTGGTTCTTTTGCTTTAAAACGACTTCCGTTCCCATCACTTTCCTACGACATGGTACACAGTGCATGGGATGGCATTGAATGGGATCAGAAAGGTAGCAAATCTTTCATAATTCTTGTTGTTTGATTCTTTTGGTGTATTTTCATTTTATTGTGTTTTTTGTATGAAGTTTGCTGGAAAATTATGTTGTTCTTTTGTCATTTGTTATAGATGGTATGCATCTAATTGAGGTTGATCGTGTTCTGAGGCCCGGGGGATACTTTGTATGGACCTCACCATTTGCTAAAACACCATCTGCTGCTCGAAAGAAAGATAATATTAAAAGATGGGATTTTGTGCGTAATTTTGTGAAAGATCTCTGCTGGGATTTGGTATCTCAACAAGATCAAACGGTTGTATGGAAAAAGACGAGCAAGAAAACTTGTTATGCTTCTAGGTAAGAGAACCTCTATGCATGACACTTATTTTACTTGCCCGGTAATACTTTGAGAATCTGAGAACGAACTATTCACATATCATTCACAATGAATGTCATGATATATATATATATATATATATATATATATTCGTCAAGGAAATTCTTCACAATGAATGTGCATGGTATTTATGATGAAGAATGCTCATGAATGTTTAGGATTATCCATCATGAATAATACATAAAATAGATGGTTCCTAGGTTCTCAAAATGTTTATGGTTCTCGACTGAACTCACCCCAATTAGTAATTATATATACATCTATGATATGCACATAATTAGTCACTAAACTATGAGATTTTTTTGAGTGATCTTATGTTTATGGACTGTTTCCCTTGTTAGGAAACATGGTCCGGGTCCCTTGGTGTGCAAAGAGGGCCGTGATATTGAATCCCCATATTACCATCCACTCGAGGCATGCATTGGAGGAACACATAGTCACCGGTGGATTCCCATTGAAGAAAGGACGAGATGGCCTTCTAGAGCTACACCAAGCTCCAAAGAACTCATGGTTCATGGTAACTCGTTTATTCCACCATTTATCAGAATACAAATCACCTGTTCCCAAACTCCATGGTCCCTCCCTGTACACCAATCAACCGTTGACATGTCATCACTTTATTGAAGAAAGAGGATAAAGAGATGTTTAAATGAAGAAATGATGAGTTAGAATTCGATTGGTGGGAAGGGGAAGAGACATGGAGTTTGGGTCGGTGTATATTCGTATTCCAGTTAACATTCAACGAATCTCTTGTGAATATGTGATTGCGGGTCTCACTTACTAAAAGAATTGAGACAAGACCCGAAATTGGAAAATGGAGGTAAATGGTGTTGTCTCATTGAAACTGCAACATTTGACTTAACACATGGTTTAAGAAAGTTGTTTGAGATGCAACTCGGTAGACATATAGTTTAAGAAAGGTGTTTGTTTGACAACCATAAGCTAACTTATTTTTTGAGCTTATTGAAAAAGATATGTTTGGTAAGCCACACTCACTTTTTAAAAAGCTACTTTATATTGTTTATCAGGGATTTTTCACTTTTTCCAGTTATGCCTCTTTTATGTTACATAAGTGCCCCTTATATTTTTCATGTTGGCCATTTGTCATCTAACTTTTAGCTAGTTTTTACTAAACATGATTAGTTCATCAGCTAACAACTAGTTTATTAGCCAACAATTGTCATCTAACTTTTCAGCTAGTTTTTACCAAATATGAGAAGTTTATCAGCTAACAACTAGCTTATTAGCCATCAACCATCACCTAGCTTTTTAGCTAGTTTTTACCAAACATGATTAGTTTATTAGCTAACTATCTTATTAGCCAACAACTGGCTTATCAACTAGTGTACCAAACATAGCCAAAATTGTTTGATTATCTATCAAATGTTTAAGGTATAAAACATAGGGCTTTTTGGGACCCAAAACTAGCACAATCAATATTTGCAATAATGATGATGAACAAATAGGTAATTTTGACATGGATACATTTCGAAAACAGAAATGTCGAAATTTTCTATGGACATTCCAATAAGAAAGTTCGCAATTCTTCATTGAAACAGCAGTTCTACTCTTTGGGGTAGAGGACAGATCTGTATACATCTCACCCGTTCTGAGTGGGACATGTTGGGCGTGTTTGGTTTGGTTTTAGATAGAGATGTTAATTTGGGCGCATTATTTGCATATATGTCTGGAACATTCGTCCTAAAAATCTCAACTGTCACTACGTTCTATCTGGTTTTTCAGGGGTACTTTTGGAAGATCTTAAGGAAGATGATCTTAACTGGAAGTCAGCGGTCCGAAACTACTGGTCTCTACTCTCCCCTCTGATATACTCGGATCATCCAAAAAGACCCGGTGACGAAGATCCCGTGCCACCTTATAACATGGTCCGAAATGTCTTAGATATGAACGCGCATTTTGGTGGTCTTAATTTTGCGTTATTGGAAGCCGGGAAATCTGTATGGGTCATGAACGTGGTTCCTACAAGTGGCCCGAACTTCCTCCCTCTTATTGTAGATCGGGGATTCATCGGTGTGTTGCACGACTGGTATATCCTTAATCTTCTTGGTATAATTGAATTCTATTAAGGGCCGAAGACATCAAAATGCAACAAAGTTTGATTTAGTTCCTATTTAGTTTAACGAATAATTCTTTTTCTCGGTTGATTTAACAAAGTTTCAAAGTTTTCTAATATGTACCCATTTCAACCAATAACCTGCTCATTTTTGTAACACTTCTTGACATGGATACCAAACAGAGGGTTAAGACGAAGTGAACGATAAACTTGACTTCCACATCAAAATGGGTAACAAATAGGAAAATTTGAAACTCCGTTACATTTTCGTTTTTCCATTTTCCGTTCTTTTAAATTCTTTTTGTTTGTAGAAATTAAAAATTTGTGTGGAAGGTTTGCGCGAAATTTGCATGTGCCATTTTCTTCATATGTTTTCAGAGTTCGTTTGATAAAAAAGGTTCAAACCGTTTACTAAACGTTTGGCGTTTGCAAATTTTGTCTTTTAGGTGCGAACCATTTCCGAGTTACCCTAGAACTTACGATATGGTGCATGTGGAAGGTCTTCTATCGCTTGAAAATGCAAATCAACGTCGTTGCAGCATGCTGGATCTTTTCTTGGAGATCGATAGATTACTCCGTCCAGAGGTATTTTGACATATTCCGTGCTCCGTATATAATATTTTTATACTGTATGGAATCCCATCAAATTACTCTCCAAAAGAGCCCTTGAGTAGAAAATGGAGGTTCTAATATATACCAAGGGGAATAGGTCCAAGTATTGCTGATTTCTTTTAAAGTATATAATATTTATATACGGCAAATAGAACAAATAAACTCACGCACCATCCTCACCTCTGGTGAGGTTTGAACCCTTGACCTCCTAAGAGGCTAGGGACTCACATACCGCTAGGCCAAAGACCCTTTGGTCTCCAAGTATTGCTGACGTGAGACTCTAACAACGCAAATAATTGTAGATATGAGCTTTGCTTATAATTGCAATTTGCAAATAAATTTTACTTAACTTGTATACACTTACATACGTACATATGCATATATGTGGGGGCATAATAAAATGAGAACCACAGAAAGGTTGAGAACCGTGAGAACCACTGATCGTGTGTTGCTTCACAATGTAAAAAATAATGCATTTGAAAATCTATTATTAAAATGATCACACTGTGAAACAACACAACATTTTCACATGTATACTGTTTCTCACGGTTCTCAACCTTTTTTTGAGGTTCTCAACCTTTATTACCCTGTATATGGGCATGCGTATATAAAAACATAAATATATATATATATATATATATATAAAATTCGGGATCATATGAGACAAGCCGGTGTATATATACATGTATATGATGTTCAATCATGTATTTATTTTTCATTGAACTTGCTTAATTTGCATATTGAACTTCAATTTTCCTTTTTTGCTACAACGCAGGGTTGGGTGATATTACGTGACACCGTCTCTCTTATTGAAACCGCAAGAACCATCACGGCTAGATTAAAATGGGAAGCACGAGTCGTAGAAATCGAAAGCAATAGCGATGAGAAACTCCTCGTATGCCAGAAACCGTTCCTAAAGAAGCAAACAAACTCGTTATGAATAAAATCAAAGCTCAAGCTGCATGATCACTTTCAAGATTTGTTTTCTTGATCTTTAAACATTTTTATCGGGCGAAACAGAGCAAAGGGATCTGAGTATACGAAAGAACGCAAGTTTTGGCAGAAACGCCAAACGAATTCCTATGGAGCCGTAAGGTACACATAGGGGAAATGTAATTATACGCGTAAAGTATAGGTGACAAATTATTACAATTTCATAGTTTACGTATGTCACTTCCGCTACCATTATAATTTATACGACGAAATATGACTAGATTTTGATGATGGTTATAAAATAAATAGCCGAAACGTTATAGATGATTATGTTGCTTCTTTATGATATGAAACGTACATCGGTTAGACACAATCCTTTTGCGATACTATATATAAGGGTAGGTTCTGTTAGGAACCATCGACAATGCGACACGCGACATATTCATCAGGAATATGGACGTGTTATTCATCATGAATCACACATTCATGATAAATAACACATTCATCATGAATCACACATTCATGATAAATAACACGTCCATTACACTATCATGAATGTGTGGGTCATGATGAATAACAAGTCCTATTCCTGATGAATATGTCACGTGTCGCATTGTCGATGGTTCATGGGTTCCTAATCAATTTTAGTTGGTTTCTAACATCTATATCTTGAAAACCATATGAAAGATTACCGATCTGAAAAAATTATAACCCATCTTTCGTGATACACTCTTCCTAGCATCAATACAAAAATATTCTAGCATAACGTCTATCAAGTTTATGGATAAACAAACAAAAAGATACTTATCTTATTATGTTCTACATATGCTTAAAAAATGTTAGCTTATTTCATCAAGGATTCATATGCTACTTTATTCACGTAATAAAAAGATTCATATGCTTGTATAATTCCAATTTCAGTGTGAATGTCTTCAATTAAAAGACGAAATACTATACTTACATCAACAAAAACTCATGTCACGTTGTCTTCTTGGATGACGCCTCAAATCAACAAAAATACAAATCACCTTCATAAAAACTGAATAAAGAGGAAGAATTGAGAGATTACGAGAGATTATTATGCTTAAATAATGTTACTTTATTTCATCAAGTATTCATGTCACTTTATCCACACAAAAAAAAATATTCCTATGCCTACATAATTCCAACTTTAGTGCGAATGTTTCCGACTAAAAAACGAAATACTATACTTACATAAGCAAAAACCCATACCATGATTTATCTTATTGAATGACATCTCAAATCAACAATAATGTAAATCGCCTTCACAAAATTATAACTAAATAGAGAGAAAGAATTGAGAGATTAATAGAGAGATTATCATAGAGGTGTATCATGATGAGAAGATGAAAAATTATAACCCAATAGAGAGAAATAATAAGAGTTATAACTGAATAGAGAGAAAAAAAATTGAGAGATTAATAAAGAGATTATTATAGAGGTGTACCATGAAAATAAGTTGAAAAATTATAATCGAATAGAGAGAAATAATGAGAGTTAAAAAAACAATTATTAGAAAGAACATGAACAAGTTGAAGTAACCTAATTAAATGATCTTAAATGTGAATATCAAAAATCAAAAATAAATATTGAGATGGATGAAGCTTGAGAAAAAGATAAAAAAGATAAAATATTTTCTTGGTTTGAGAAGAAGTCATGTCATTACACTTGGTTTCTTCTTTAATATTTGGTGTCTCTATTAAAGATGGTATTAATAACAGTTAAATTATAAGATACATAAATGAATTCAGTTGTACCAAAATAAAACGTTAAATTCTTGTAACTCGTCCTTCTATTTATATTTACTAGAAGAATACTCGCGCAATGTATCGAGACACATCTCGATTTTAATGATCTATTTTATTATTTGTCTATGTCGATGTTATAATACGAATTTATGTGTTCTTAAAAAACTATAAATATTTTATTTTTGAATAAAATATAAATTTGAAGATATCATAAAAATTTGAAAAAAATATATCAATGTTAATATCAAATCAACTATTTAAAAATTACCAT